TGAAAGGTCTCGATGAGTGTAAAGTCGGGATGAGCTTATATCTTTAAAAATGTCAATAGTTCACAAGATACAAAGTCATTTCTTAACTATGTATATATTAAATATTATTATCATTATTAGTGTAAAACGTACTCAAGTAATTGACGACCAGTCTGATTACTACCAATCAACAGACAGCGTCTGGTTATCGAACAAAGAACGCGCTGAAATTCAAAAACACCAGGAAGAAATACGAAGTCGAAAACACGCCTCACGCTTATCAAAAAAAGTAACCCTTGATTTGTACGGGCGTCAGGTTATTGACGAGCCTGAAAATTATGATAATTTGCCATTACCTCAGCAAAGTCAAGCTCAAAGCTTCAACGATGTTGTTTGTCCTGACTTGGAGTTCGAACTTCCTCAGGTATTTTTTTCTTGTCATTAAATAGAACAATAGTTCTATTCAATGATCTAATAAGATCAATTATTACATCATATAATAATTAATGAAAATTATTTAGTACGTAGAAACAAATAATATTCTGAAGAATATATCAAACAATTCAAACGCTTCGACGACTATCCGTCGAATTCAAGATAAAGAACTTCTGGACATGGTTGATGAAGGCTACTGCCTTTCTATGCATCAACCATATGCTTCTCTTCTAGTCGCAGGAATTAAAATGTAATTATTAATTAATTTTTTAATTATTAACCTTCCGTTACTTTTGGTATTGGGCGAATCTCCGGAATGTTGACTTTTATTTGAACTATTAAAAAAATTATCATAATTAATGTTGCTAATTATAATTATTTTTGAATTAATTTATTATTAATTTTAAAATGTTCTCAGACCTGAAATTTTTATTTATTTACCGTCATATGTTTAAAAATCGATTTTATAGATTAATATTTAGTAAGACTTAAAGTAGATTTGGCAATAATGTCGAGCAAAAAAATATTCCGGGGATTCCCCGGGACTTTTAACGCCCTCTGGATTTTTAGCGCGTGTTACGGAAGTTTAATTGTGTCAGTATTAATAATATCAAACATTGTAGGCATGAAGGAAGAATATGGTACTCTGCACACCGAGGACGGTTGTGGATTCACGCTGCGGCTAAAGTTGTTTCCAAAGAAGAAATCACTGCTCTGGAAGATCACTACAAAAATTTTAATGGTAACTTATAAATAAACTCTAAAAATTATTAAATTATTAAATTATTATTGAGTCAATATTTTAATTATTTTTTTTTCTAGAAAATTATATCTTTCCAAAAACATACCCAGCTGGTTGTCTCATCGGCTGTGTGACTGTCGTTGACGTTCTCCCCCAAGATGAATACCGTAAAATTTACCCCGACGGTGATTCAGACTCACCTTATGTGTTTATTTGTCAAGATAGTCGTGAATTATCTTTGAAATTTCCCATGCAAGGAAAACATAAAATATGTAAGTAGATATTTTTTTTATCTTTAATATTTATAAGTACTAAAAATAATAATGTAAAATTTTTTCAGATAAACTGGATAAACAAATTCACAAAGCTGCTTTGAAGCATATATAAGTTTAAAAATTTTTATATAAATATGTTGTTAAATTATTTTTTAGTGACTAAAAGTCATTTTCATATTCATATTAATTGTTAATTATTTAGTTTCACGGTTAATAATATTTCAACGAATGAAAATGTGAACTAAAATAATTAAAAACAATAAAAAGTTTTTGTAATATAAATTACAGTATTATTTTTTTTTTTTTTCTAAGAAGAAATAATAAAATTTGCTTTTTTTTTTTTCTAAAAATTGTTAATTTCCAAAATTTAGGCAGAATTTAGACAGCCATAACTTTTCAACTTATCAAAATTTTTAAACCGGTCAAATTTTATCTTAAAAAAGAGACTTTTTGCTACAACTTTCTCTCCAAAAAATTTTTTTTCCAGAAGAAATAGCAATCAAGATAAAAATTATTTGATATTAATTACAGATCCAAATTTCAAAATTTTAAAACTTTGATCCGTAATTAAAAATATTCAACTAATTATTTTTATGTCTTCGCCGGCATTTTTATGATCCTTAGACCCTTAATTTTAAGACCCACTGCAATTTTTTTGAAAAATAATTTTTTTCCGCCAAGTTTTCAACGCCCCCAGATCAAAAAACCCTTTCTACAACCCAAAACTTTAAAACTTTAAGAAAAAAAAAATATGTAACAATAGCAACAATTCAACATTTATTGAACCAAAATAACATAAAAGCATCGATACATATTTAATATCTTACAAATTCATTCATACAATTATTTAATAAACTTTTTACAATTCAATAAGGCCAAATTTATCCACTTAATTCATTTCCGTAATTCAATAATAATAAAAAAAAAAAACAAATAAATAAATTTCTCCTCTAAAATTAATAATAATGATCATTAAATATAAGTAGGCGAGTCTTTGAGGTTAAACTGACAGGCTTCGCAAACAAAAGCTTCTTTCTCATTAACAAGCGTGCATTTAGGACACACTTTCCCACCACTGGCCAAAGGAATATCTTCATTACCTTTCCTCCTAGACTTTCCGCACATCTCGCAAATTTCCTTCCCCGCGGCGTTAAAAAACGTGCAGGTCAAGCAAGACCAGGTCGCTTCAGCTGCACCATCAATCTTCATATTCTTGACAAGATCGCAAACCTGATCCTTATCTCTCTTATTTCTTCCCTTAACCTCAACCATCAAATCGCTCCCTTCACTATCATAATTGTACGTCGCGCCCAAATCTATCAATGGCGCTTTGTCAATCCTGGGATTAGAATTTCCATTATAATTAGCGTTCTTGGAACTTCTGGAACGACGTCGTTCCTCGAACTTGTCAGAACTCTCTCTTCGCTTACTCTGCCTTTCGTTCCTCAGAACGTCTTCTCTCTCAGCGACATCTTTAGAGTATCCAAGATCCTTCAGGCTGCGATATACAAAATCCCAAGAGTCGTTGGAAGCCGTTGCAGAGTCAAGACTCATTGAAGTTTTTATCGGCGAAGATTTGTTCCCTCCGTCGAACTGATCAGGCGGCTTAATGGCCGTCGTTGAAGACTTACTGCGACGGTGGCTCCGCTTATCGTAGGAACCGTCAAACTCAATCAGCGGCGCATGCGCGTAAGTTGGAACTCCGTAGACTTGATTGTAGTGATTGTTTAAATCAGACTCAAAGTACCTTAAATCTTCGTACCGATAATTATCTGGAACATAGTTCGCCGCCAGAGGGAGCATTGGAACTCGTTGAATTCCAGTTCCTAGAACTGCAGTTCCAGGAACGGTATTTCTTGTTCCAGTTCCTAGAACTGCTGTTCCAGGAACGGTGCTTCTTATTCCAGTTCCTAGAACTGCTGTTCCAGGAACTGAACTTCTTGTTCCAGGAACCGGAACGACATCAGGCCTGTAATTAATAGGATATTTAATTCCAGTTTGATACTCATTAATTGGAGAATTTATAATTGCAGGTTGCGCATAATGCAAGTCGTAATTCTTGCGTCTTTGTTGGCACCGTTCCCAGAACCTGTGATTGAGGGCGCGGATTGCATTCTCAGGAGTTCCAACGTGTTTTTCGCGGAACTCGAGGACTTCTAACCAAGAAACGGTGAAGGTTTGCGACACGTTCTCCCAGATCTGCTTCATTATCTGGCACTCGACGAAGGCGACGATCGCGTCACGGCTCACGAAGGACACTCGGTCGGGGTCTATGGGTCCTTCGAGAGTCATCACGCCTCGCTCGTGCAGGGTCGGCTTGTAACCCATCAGCTCGAACATCAGCTCAGCGCCTATCAAGTTTGTTTCGATCTCGTGCTTGTAGTACCCGCTGTAAGTTCGCAGGGTTCGGTACTCTTTGCGCCAAGGCTGGGCTAGGAGGTTCGCGGCGTACAGAGAGATGGCGATCCAGGCGGAACAAGCTCGGTAACCGCTGAAGTCAGGAAGGATTGCTGCTGATTGGTGCAATATATGCGCTGTTTGCTCGAACACGTACTTGTTCTCGTGAGGCACTAGATGGAGGTACTCTTTTATGAAGCCTGTAAGTGTTTTAAAGAAGAAATAGTGAGTAGGTTTTTTTGTGAATTACAAACTTTAATTTAATATAAGTTTAAAATTATTAAATATTTTAATTCTTAAAAATAAAATTAAAGGCATGGAATTATAATTAGAACAATTTTGAATGGACAAAATATTAATATTAATAATATAAGAATTAATTAAGTCAATAAATGATAATTTTAAATTTTAAAGTTATTTAAAGAAGAAATAAGATTGAAAATTTAGGTTTTGCTTTTTTGTTTGAGATTTTTTGATACTGAAATTAACAAACGTTTTAAAAAATTTTAATTTATTAATTTAGAACTGAAAAAATATTTTTTTAAAATTACGCTTGTAGTTTTTCAAATCTACTACATGTGAAATTTTTATTTTTTTTTTATAAGTTTGTTTAATGAAAAAAATCCTAAAAATTGTCGGATGTAAAAAAAATAGAACAAATTAAAAAATGTGTCACGTAATTGAAAAAGTTTTTATGAATTTTAGAAAAATTTATTTTTAACGTTTGATCAATAATTTAGAGTTTATATAATGATTATTAAATATTTTTTTTATATTCTGTATTAAGAATATAATAAACAAAAATGACTTGATAAGTCAATTTTCAAAATTTTGGGTTTGATTTTATAAATTTTACAAAATCAAAGACGTTCATGCGCTACGCTACAATCAAATGAGTACTAACTTTTTATGAAATTAATTTGGGTCTTGAGAAAAATTTTAAATTATATCAATAATCTTATAATGATTTACAATTATTTGTTTATTTACCTGAAATATTTTTTAGGAATCTATTTTAAAAAATCAGTAGATATAAATAAGTCATTGATTTAACGCCCATCAATAAGCTGTATAAGGTGGTTGTCTTCAGTACGGTCAAAAATCAACTAAAATAATTTTAATTATACCAAGTAAAATAATAAATAATTAATTTAAACGTTCGTCAACACTCTGTATGTTTTGATGCATTTATATAAACTACATAAATCAGATAATTTTTTGAAACATTATTTATTATGGTATCTACTTTAATAATATAAATATTATAATTTTAAATTAAAAAAAACGCTGATCTGCTATAAGGTTGGATGTTAAAAATCTAATTTTTAATCGTTAATAACTTTTTTAAATAATCGACAGCGAATTTTTAATTTTTTAGGCGCATGAACGTCCTCAAGTAAACTTTCAATAAAAAATTCTCAAGTCCGCAAGAAGAAAATAAAAAAAATTTGACAACTCAATTTTTATTACAAATAATGATAAAAAATAAATTTTGAAAATAATAAAAAAAATTAACCTTCAAGTTTGTGTCTCAACGCAAGCTTCTCCTCACTCTCATCCATTTGTAAATAAGCAAGGTGACTTTTTTCAACATTTATGCTTATTTCTTCCAATTTGTCTATTATTGCAGCACCTGGACGGTCCAGAATGTCAAATGCCATCATTTTGAGCACTAATTACCTACAACCTGTCAACAAATCACCACCATCAGCATACTAATGACTGAATCACCACATAAAATAATTATCTAGGGAACAATTGCTGAAAATTGATGACGGAAATACCTTTTCCGGTGAAAATTTAGTGCAATTTACACTCGAATTTCCGTATGTCTGCTCATACTGTCTCAACCTATAAATAACAATGCTAATTATAGAAGTAATCTAGATCCATTAAATAATTTTAAAATTTCATACCTTTTTCATTTTACCATTGTTGCAATTCGATTTCTCGTGCTTCAGCATTTTGTTTATGATTATTTACCAATTCATTTATTTAGCAATAAACTAACAAATACACACCTCTGTGCCAAATATTTATTTATTGTCGAGACACTGATCAGCTTTCAGTACTTCAGAATTTGGGAAATAATTAGCATCTTTGTTTTGGTTAAAAATTCACTTATTTATTCAATTTAATTATTGTTAAAAATACTTGGAGGTTATTATTAATTTTTACAAAATAATAATAATAATAACAGTGTAATGCTTCCCCTTTTTTGCATGTGTCGATTAAAAAAAAAATCAACAATTTAATTTTCTCTGTTGTAAAATGTCGGCAATGGCGGAATTTATGTTTGAAATATTTCTTCGCGCCATTAAAAGATGGCGGGCCTTGGGGATTCCCAATGTTTATTTTTATAAGTTCCACTTTTTACCACCAGGAGAAAATTTAATTATTTTTAATAAATTATGTTACAAATTTATTCTAAAATGTCAAAAAATAATTTTTTTGTGTATTTTTAAAAACGTAAATTTTTTTTTTTGACAATTTATCTAGTGAAGTATTAAAATTAAATTAATTTTTTTTAAGTACATTGTATATTTTCAAGTAAATTTTGTAATTTTAAAAACTTAAATTCTACTAACATGATTTTAAGATTTATTTTCGTTAATTTTACTTTCGAATTTTTGAATTATTTTTTATTTAATTAAAAATTCAATTCCATTTTCTTTAAATTATTAAAAAATTGTAACAATAAAAAAAAACTTAAAATTACAATTAAATTTATTGGTAATGCGACATTAAAATTTCACACGCATTGCACACAAATGTCAATTACACATAATTACAAATAGAGTACGCATAAATATTATTATTAATCATAATTGAATTAATATCAATGTTTATGAAAATATTTTTTTTTTTTTTGCAAAATTTAATATAATGAAATGAATAGTTAATTTAAATGTAACATGCCGCAGTATTTGGAATGTAGCGTGTGTGAAAAAAATGAATTTACTTATTATTGATTATTATTTTGTTGATTTGTAAATGAGGTAATCGTGTATTAAAGAGTATTGTTGAGATCAAGACGTGGTCTCTTACAGCGACGGACTGTAACATCTTCAGATTGATCACTGCCGCCATTTGGTGATAATACATCACGTTTTCGCTCAGCGTTCTATTTAGAAACATCATTTATTTTATTCATTATTTTTTTATGGTTTTTAATTTAATTAAGATACTTATTATAGAAATACTGTACTCGAAAATTTTATCACAGTATTTTTTTTTGTAATTAGTGTATTTGTTAACTAAGTACCTTTTTGTCCCATTGTTGATGAAGGAAACGGAGTAAAATTGTTGTTTTTTCTGTGACAATTACTGTAATAAAAAAATTATTTTTAATGTTAATAATAATTATAATACATACAATACAATATTAATAATAATAATAATAATAAATAAATAAATAAATAAATAATATTGACATTTGTAGAATTTTTTTTAACAAAAAAATGTAATTTTTATAAAAAAAAAAAAATGGAGTAAAATTTTATGAAAATAAAGTTAGCTGGCATCTAAAAATTTTTATGATTTTTTTTATTAAAGAATTATTACAAAAAAATTTTTTTCATTTGTTAAAAACGTCAAAAACTATAAGTGCAATTTTAAAAAAAATTTTTAGTTATAATTTAATAAATTAAGCAAAATAAAAAAATAAAAAATGTCAGCTAATTTTATTATTATTAAAATTTTTTAAACAAAATTAATAATTGATTTTTTTAATAAAAACAAAAAATTATCAAAGATCAGCTGATTTTTATTAATAATAATAATTGATTTCTTAAATAAAAACAAAAAATTGTCAAAAATTAGCTGATTTTTTTACCATTAATAATAATAATGTTTAAATAAAAAATTTAATTTTTTAAAATGAGTAATTGTAAACTCTTTTAGTTAATTTTAATTAAAAAAAAAAAATAATTGTAAATTTAATTGGTTATTTTTATACCAACTCAAAAAACGCTCCAAAATTTTTTTGAATAAATACTCCCAAATTATTTGTATGATTTAAAAAAAAATAATTTTGCTACCTCAATATTACTGATAGTAATTAAAAATAATTAAATAAAATAAAAAAAATACACAAAACATCTGATACCTTGCTCCGAAGGATAATCCTTGGTGGGTAAATATACAGAAGGTCTTTTAACACAAGTCCTATTACCATTGTCTGTATGAAAATTAGCGAAATTATTTTCGTCGTGGCTCGGAAGTCCTTTCAAAAACTCTGAGACAGACTGAAAGCATAATAAGATGTTAGAAAACTCCAAACATAGATGCCAAACGGTTGTACAAACAATTAACGGTAAAAAAAAAAAAAAACTCAATATTATTTTTTCTCACCATAGTTGCAGTGAATTAGAATTAAAAAATACTTTCAATTAAATGATTAATATTAAATACTTATCAAAGTAACAATTAATAAACAAAATTATTTTCGTCTGGAAAATTTCTCCTGGTGATTAATGATGCAACTTTTTTGAGGTTATGCTTGACATTTGCATCAAATCTTCGACATAAGTTACATTTAGCGCATGCGCATGAGTTTCAGAGTTGTAAGCTTGATTTACAGAGCACAGAGTAGCAAAAGGTAAGAAAATATTAACCTGTAAAATATTTATTATTATTATTGTAATTAATAATAAACATTAAATAAATTTTAGGAAGAAATAAATAATGAGCCAAAATTCAAGAAGAAGTGACGCGACGTCGACGGGTGAAAACGATAACAATGCAGTAAATGGCGAGGAGTCGGTGTCCTCGATGACAATAATGACGGCGAGCCAGCAGCCGTCAAACGTAAACGGGGAAGGTGAGGAGTTCTCCGGGAACAGGTCGCCGTACAGTGAATCTGCTGAAGACAAGGCTGACTCTGCGGGTGATAAGAAATCTTTGAACGCGAGTACCAACAATGTCACTCCGGTGAACAAGAACAAGTCGAAGAAGCGCAAAAAGACTCCCAGAGACGCGACAGCACCCAAGCAACCGCTCACCGGGTACTTCAGGTTTTTAAATGACAGGCGTGATAAAGTTCGCAATGAAAATCCTAATATGTCATTCGCTGACATCACCAAGGCTCTGGCTGCTGAGTGGAGCTCGCTACCGGCTGATCAGAAACAGCAGTACCTGGTGGCTGCTGAACAGGACAAGGAGAGGTACAACCGGGAGTACAGTGATTACAAGCAGACTGAAGCTTATCGGTTGTTTAGTGAGAAGCAGACCATGGAGAAGGTTAACGATAAGAAGGTTGTTCCTGATGCGCCGGCTACTGATCAAATTGTGAGTTTTTTTTTTTTTTTTTTATAATACTTACTAAAGTTAGCCGACGTTTTTGATTTTTTTTTAATTTATTAAATTAGAACTAAAAAAAATTTTTTTAATATTGCACATAGTTTTTCAAGATTTTTACAAATGAAAATTTTTTTTTTGTAATAATTTTTTCAGTAAAAAATTCTAAAAATTTTTAGATGTCGGCTAACTTAATTTTCATTTTTTTTTTATGATGCTGAAATTAGCAGACATTTGATTTTTATTAAAAAATAAACCAGGTCTAGAAAAATATTTTGTAAAAATTATATTCATCATTTTTTACAGTTTTTAAAAATGAAAATTTTTATTAATTTTTTTAGCTATAATTTATTAGTTAAAAATTTCTAAAAATTATCAAATGTCTCAATTTTGGCATCAATTTTTTTATTGAAATTAGTAGACGTTTGAAAATTTGTTAAATTACAATATTAATAATAAATTAGACTGATAGTTTTTAAAATCTTCTACATATCAATTTTTTCTATAGTTTTTTTTTTAATAAAAAAAATAGTCAAATATCTGCTAATTTCATTTTCATTTTTTTCTGTGGTTTTAATAGATGTTTTATTTTTTCTTTTTTTAGGAAAATTTGTCGGAAAAAGACAATGATGGGTTTTCTGGATTTGATATTCCGATTTTCACTGAAGAGTTTCTTGATCATAATAAAGGTATTGTGTAAATATTATTTTAGGTATAAAAGTTACACAGTAAAAAATTTTGATTTGAAATTTTGAGAGACATCTGATAATTTTAAGAATTTTTTTAACAAAAAAAATTATAACAAGATTAACTTAAAAAAGTTTCATCTTTACCGACTCCAAAAAAGTATAAATAAATCAAGGACTAGCTTTTTATACTTTGAATGAGCTGTAAAAATTAAGTAAAATTCTAGGAGTTGTTTTTTTAATAAAAAAAATTATGAATTTTAGTTAAATCTTATAAGAATAACTTTTGATTAAAAATTACTGAAATTGATTAAAAAAAAAAAATTATTTCGGCCCAAAAAAAATTTTTTCAAACAATTTTTCTGCCCAAGTTTTGTAAAGTATCTCAAAATTTATCAATTGAATATATTAAAATTTTTCACTAAATATTTTAAAAATATTATACTTAAAAAAATGTTAAAAATCAATTTTTTCATATATTTTGACTGCACTTAATCCTGCAACTTACTTTGTTATCAATTATTTAACACAACTTACTAAAACTTTTCTTTAGAATTCAATGAGAAACTGCAAGTGCATTTGAAGAAACGTATGCACAAATTTTAAGTTTTAGTTCGAGCAAACCTTTTTTGATAATTTTTATAAATTAATAATTCAAAAATTATGAATTTCAGTTAAAATTGATAACAATAACTTTCGGTTCAAAATTACCTAAATTATATATATAAAAAAAAAAAAATATTTTACTGTTTAGCCCGAGTTTTGTAAAATATCTCTCATTTTACTTAAAAAATTATCAGATATCTTGAAAACTACTAATTAAAGTAACTATAAATTTCCATTAAATTATTTTAATATCAATTTTTTTTTAGTTCTGACTGCATTCAATTCCTTAATAATTTTTTCTATAATTATATAAAAGATCTTTAATTAAAAAATGAACCAATTTACACAGCCTGTGAATCCGAACTACGACAGCTACGAAAAGCAACATCTGACTGTGAATCTCAAAACGCAGTTCTCCAGCGTCACGTAGACAGTCTCCACGCAGCAGTAAATCGACTAGAGTCAGAAACAAATCAGCAGCGAACCACGAACCAATCTCTGCAGCGTCATCTTGATATTCTACGAAATCAATTGGCCAGTTGTTTCGCTTCAGTCCCTCTCAAAGGTTTTTTATCAACCTACACTATAAATATCTGTTTTATAAATATAGTTTATTATATATCGGTAAAAATATTTACAGGAACACACGATGGTGCCAATTTACAAAATATCGACAGCTATATCGAGCGATTAGAATTTTTGTTTACCAGCGGCAGCAATTCAGACACTTCATTCCGAAACGCGGTGCAAAATGCTATTGCCCAATTCGATCTGATAGGATGACCTTCGTCTCCTTCCTCACCAGCACCGGCACTGCCTCCGCCGTCGTCACCCAATGTCGCAACGACTAATTCGAAACATCGCTCGTCAAGGCACTTGCGAAAGTGATGCGTTCAACGCAGTACAAATATTATCTTATCTCGTACATAACACCCATTAAATTACTAATTTAATTTTTTCACGTGTTCTGTGAGTTTACTCGATAGATCTCTGCAAAATAATAATAATAATATTAATTAATTAAAGTCAATTGAATTTATTTTAAATCAATTACTTACCTGAGTGATTTTGCATTTTGCGGGTGATGGTATCCTCGTTGTAATTTAATGATACCTTGTTGTACTTGTGTGATTATTATTTTTGACAATTCTCGTGTGTTTATTGATTGTAAAAGTTCCCAAGTAGGTTGCGAATTTGATGGTAAATAATTAATCAAAGTTGAAGCAATAATATTTGCTAATTTTTCTCTAAAAAATAAAAAATAAAATTTTATTAAATAAATTTTCAAGTTCACAAAAAAAATTTCTTCTTATATATATATATAAAAAAACAGCAAAAATAATTTATAAACTTTGGAGTAATTTTTGTATCAATTATTAGCAAAGACTTATATAAAATAAAAAGTAAGTTTCTACTTGCGAGAAAAAAACTCCACCTAGCGGTGAAAATAAATAATTATTAAAAAACTAACCTCATAAATTTTTTCTTATATAAAACAATTAATTTACAAACCTTGACTTTACTTCTGAGTAATTTTGGTACTAATTATTAGCAAAGATTTATATAAAATGAAAATTAAGTTTCTACTTGCGAGAAAAAACGCCATCTAGTGATGAAAATGAGTAATTACTAAAAAAAATTTAACCTCAAATTTCTTCTTATGTAAAAAAATTTAATTTACAAACTTTGATTAACTTTAGAATAATTTTTGTATCAATTATTAGCAAAGACTTATATAAAATAAAAATTAAGTTTCTATTTGCGAAAATAAAACGCCACCTAGCGGTGAAAATAAATGACTATTAAAAAAACTAACCTCAATTTAAAATCACTTTTGAAATAATTATTCCCGCAGACATAATTGATAAATTTAGCCGTTTGTTGCTTATGAGGATGATGTTCATGAGTCCTTATATAAGCCTCGACAATATTTCCCGAGCACTTTAAAACAATCGACTCAGCAATATACTTTTTATTCTGAGCGACAGAAACATCTAGCAGATGATTAATCAGCGCCATCACCAGATACCCGTGTTTGTGCATTGAATTATCTTGAGAAATTTTAAGAAACACCGCTAGTTTTTCCACAATAAAAACCGAAAAATCACTAGCGGTGTCTGTGAAGCACCTGGTGAGTGATTCCGCGACCCGAAATCCGTCTCCGGACTCAGTAACAAGAAGCGGAAGGTACGCCTGAAGCAGATCTGATACTAAATTGATCAAAGTAACATCATTCTTAGCATTAGCAGACTCCAACCCCAAGATGACCATGGAGAATATCTTCTTGCTCAGGTGTCTCAGGTAAGAATCTTCATTATTCTTAATCAGCACAAACTTGTTGATGTAATTAAGCAGCATGCTAGCATGAGTTTTGGTGTGCATCATCGCGCCGCAGCAGAGAAATATCGTGCCAAAACACCTGTAGATCCACCAAGCCAATTCGCTGTCCTGAGTTTCAGGTCTTATTGGCCCTAAGACCCACTTATCAAGATTCATCAGCACAGACCTAGTCCTGACATCCAAAGCTGTATCTTGTGCAGTCCTCCGTCTGTTATTCAACGCCATAGCCCAGGAAATCAACGACTCAGATTCTTTAATAAACTTCTCCCTTTCTTGCTGAGTAAACAGCTGGCGAATTTCATCAAATTGAACCACGCAGCGTTTAATTTCTTCCATCTCTCCCGAAGAATCCAACCCATGAATGCAGCACTTGAACCAGGCCTGGATGACAATCAAATTAAAATTCTTGATCCCCCTGATACCTTCCAGCTCACTGTGCCCCAGGACTCCAGTCAGATAATTCTTGATAATCCTCGCGTCTTTGACCTTTAACGTCGAGGTAAAGTGAACAAAAAGCGAAGAAGCTTCTTGCCGATTAGCTTCAGCAACGTCTTTGTACCTAGCCGCCTGGACAGTGAACTCAACAGCCAGCTTCGGAAGGTCTTCATAGTAATCCCCAGAGAATACCATTGTGCGAAGACACCCAACAACATTGACCATCAAAGTAGCCAGGACATCTCGGCTGTCCTTGTTCAGCATCTCCAAGACCAGCTTCAGCAAAACTGGAATCTTGCTTTTGGGACACTCTCTTAGATACCTGTCGATCCACCCACTGATCAAGAGATGCTCATCTCCTCTACCCACCACCAAAGTACCCAAGGTGTCGATGAAGGTAGACATCATCGACCTACCAAATTCGTCCTGTCGGCAACAGATAACGTTAACCATCTCAACAAACCTGTCAGCAATTGGCTGTAAGCTCAAATCATTCTCCCTGTACAGAAGCAGAGCACACAGCTGTCCTTTCCAGCTCAGGATAGTCCTCTTGGAATTATTGTCCGGCTGCAAGACAGGTGGCAGCAGATTCAGCATCACCGTGCAAACATCAGCAACATCAGCAGTGACACCCAGAGTTAAGAAGAGAGAAATGAAGTTAAGCAGCGCTGCTTCGTTGAACTCCTGGACCTTGAACTTGTTGAACTTGGAGCATATCCGGCCCTTGATCTGGTACCAGTAGTTCTTCTTACCAGAAGTTCCATCCTGGCGCTTGAGGACGCAGCCCAGGAAGTTAAGGAACATCCCGTAGCTGGACTCAGCATCCTTGCCGTCAATTCTCTCCTTGACCTGCTTCAGCAACTCTTGAGGAGTCTTTCTGTCCATCGAGAGCGACCACAGGCCCTGGGAGGTCAGGTACGGGTGCTCCAGTCTCCGGGGGAAGTACTCCCAGAGATGGTTTATTATTATGATTCTAAACTCCCACCATTCAGTGGTCAGCTTCTTCACCAGCGGGATCAGCAGCTTCAGCTCCTCGTCGACGTCTCCAGGGTGCCGGGAAAACCCTCGAAGGATTCGTTCAATTTTGGTGTAATTATCCTTGATCCTCTCGCTGCTGCTACCTTGGAAGACCCCGTCGGTGCTGTACCCCTGGAGGATCCCCAGGTGGTAAATCAGCCATACGCTGAACAGCTCGCTCTTTGCTGTAGGGGTGATTTTGTCCAACGCGCAGTTCACGTACTCCCAGAAGCTGACCTCGACCTGGTCACAGTCCTCGATGATGACCTGGATCATCAGCCACAGCTCTCTAGCACAGGAACAGCTGTACGGAGTCTTTAGTCTCAGGTCCCCGGAGTGTCTCTCGAAAATCTTTAAGGATATGTAGATCAGGTCGTCGATCACCAGCTCCAATGTTTTGCTCAAGTCGTTCATCATTTCTGCTACAGTGAACTTGCTCGCTCGCACGTAGGTGAATAGTATTAAGAGCCAGCGCAGCTCCAGGTGCATGTGGTACAGGTGGAACTCTGGTTGGGAGCACTTGTTCCCGATGTTGGAGACTGCGTAGTGGAAGATAGCAGCTGGAACTCGGGTTCTTAGTCTGCTGATGAACGTTTTTAAGACCTGCAAGATCCGGTCGATGTCTTGCAGGTCTAGGAATTGGGAGATTTCTTCATTGAACCACGCATTGTCTACACTGCTGATAAATTTCATTGTGTAGGTCAGAAAATCGCACACTGACTTACGGAGCTGGTATAAGTTTTCCGGGGAATTTGTTTCTAGGATACGCGGGTTGTACTTCTCGTAGCGCGTTAAAATCCGCAGGTTCATCCTGGAAGATTTTATTTTTAGTTGATTTTTGGTTAATTCTTCTCAAAGGTTGGGAAAAAATTTTTTTATTAAAAAAATATGTCTAAAAAATTTAAAGGTAATTTTACTAAATTTATAGATGTGAATTTTTTTTATAATCTATATTAAGAGATTTAGAAAAATTTTCTCTTCAGGATAGTCGTATAATAAAATCGGTTTTTTTTTTTTTAGTGAAATTTAGTGTCATTGCAAAGGTCTTGATTTGAATTTATGCCTTTTCAAGGTTTAATATCATTCTCACCGATAGTCAATTTATAATGATAAGTATTTAGGCTGCATTCGAAAATTCTCTATCTCTAGATACATAATTAAGAAATGAGCTTATATCTTAAGAACTATAGACATCTTTAAAGATATAAGCTCATCCCGACATTGCACTCATCGAGACCTTTCATTTGAGTACCCACATCAATTTTTCATATATTTATAAATATTATATATATATATATATATGAAAAATATTTAAAAATGCATGTGGGTACTCAAATGAAAGCTCTTGATGAGTGTAACATCGGGATAAGCTTATATCTTTAAAAACATCAATAGTTAAGAAAGTACAGTTCAATTCAACAAAAATTATTATTTAATAAAACAAAATTTTATTCATTTATAATTCTCATGGCAGTCACGTAGTGACTGCAAGGTTGCTAGTTTAGTTATAAAAAATCAAAAAAATTGACAGATTGACACTATCACAATCTTTTATGACATAAAAATTAGCAACCTTTGACCATTTTTTAATTTTTATTCAACAATTAAATTACAATGAAAATAATTTAGCAAAAAAATTCCTCGTGTAGAATTTAAAAAAAAAATAAAAAATTCGAATTTTAAAATAATTTTTTTTTTTTCTTATAATTATTGATTTGTAATGAAAATCCAAAAAAGTAAATTATTATGAAAAAATTTTAATATAAAAAATTGATATCTAGAGATTGAAAAAAATTACAAGTGCAAATTTTTTAAAAATATTTGCACTTGTAATAAAAAATGGCAAATTAATTTTCATAATTTTTACTCCAACCTTTGAGCACTAGGTGATATAAAATTATAAAAAAATAATTAAAATATACTCTACGCATTCTATTAGAGGCTGCAGGTGCAGGATCGCAATCGCCCCGGGAAGCTCGTGATCGAAGAGCAGCACCCGGTCGTCAATAACTTGTAATTCTTTGCAGCGGTCCAGCTGTTCCTTCATCAGTCCTGCAGTTTTTGTCAGGTTAGTGTCATTTGAATTAATTTTTCCAGCACAATCGAACGTCACAAATTTACTCATAGTGTTTTTCTTTTGTTTCAGGTTGACTGTTGCTATTGAATTTCAGAGAAGACGCGGTTTTGCCGGTTACTCTACAGTTTGTGTCAAAATCAGCTGACAGCTTTACACTGTACATATGTAACTATTAACTCCGGGATTTAACTGTACAATATTAATGGCGACCATCATGGACAAAGATTCAATATCAATGGAAACTATACAATAAAAAACAGACAATAATTTTTAATTGTTATTACGCTCGATGCTAATGCATTGTTAATGATAATAATATACTTGTGATATTAATTTTAATTAATATAGTTGAAGCTGGTGGGTACTTGTAAGTTTTTTTGGCATGCTGGTGCGGCGCGCTTCAGGTTTTTATGTCTAGATTTTGTATGTATTTGTCAGTGGATTGAAATTTTTGTGTTGGTTTTTAATATTTGAGTTTGTTAATTGTTTAATTCGATTTTTTATTTTTTTTAAGGAATGTCAACCTGGGCACAATGACCCATTTTTTGGAACTCAGTGATGGGGTAAGTTTTTTATGGTTTTAAAAATTAGGAATAGTTTTGGAAAATTAGTATGACTCATATTTCTCTTAAATTATTTTTTTTTAATTATTCATAATTTAAATTACTTAGTTTTTTTTTTTTTTTTTTTTATTTTTTTTTTTTATTATAAAATTTACTATGAGTTTTTTTTTTTTTTTTCTTCTAATAACTTGTTTTAAAATGTATGAAAAAATTGAACATAATAATTTTTAAAAATGAAATTTGTGTTTCAAAAAAATTAAAAAATAAAGTTTAAACAATAAAATTAATTATTTTTAATAACAATTATTATTATTATAAAAAAGAATTGTAAATATTTATATGAAAAACTGAATTTTTTTTATACTAAATAAATTTTTTTTTATTACTCTAATTATATTTTAAAAATTAAAAATATTAAATTGCGATATTTTATTTAATTGAAAAATGTTCATTGTAATTTTGTAAATTCTGTATGTTTAACCTGTAAAATTAATTTTTTAATTCTGATCTTGATCAAGACAGCAAAATTAATTTATAAAATATTTTTCTTGAAACCAATTTAATTAATAACAAATATTTATAAAATAGAATGTAAAAGTAAAATTTTCCCTTTTGTTAAAATTTTTTCAAGTCAAAAATTCTAAGAATTAAACTTTGACTCAAAATTAAGGATTAAGAATATATTTAGATACTTAAAAATTGACTTTACATTTATAGAATTGATTAATTTACAGCCACCATTGCTGCAAGCGATTTTCCTTGGTGACATCCAAGAAGTTCGCTCTTTATTGGCGACACAGCAAGAAAGTGTCCATTGGAAGGATGAAAAACTGCGTACGCTGGTTCACGCAGCAGCTTTTATGTAAGAGTATAATCTTATACTGATAAAATAAATCATTAATTTAAAATCAAAAGTTTATTTCGAATACGGTATTGTATTTTTTTGATACTATGTCGGGTAAATATTTTTAAAACTCCAATAAAATTATAAAATTTTGTAAGTTTAGTCTACTGCAATAGCTACGATATACAATAATCTGTGAATTGCACTCACTTTAACTTTACCATAATCTTTAATTTATTAAATTTAAATTTGTTGTTTATTAAACGTCATTTTAATTATCAAGATTTAATAAGTAATTGAAAACTTATTTTTTGAAGACTTGTAAACTACTCGAATTTACAATTTCGCGTGGAAGTTCTTCTCAAAGCCTTATTACAGTCACCAAAAAAGATTTTTCCAAATAGCTTGTAGTGAAAAGAGGTAGTTTGAAGGAGGTGTGCTTTTTTGCAGATAATATATCTATACGTAGTTTCAAACGAGTAAAAAATTTATGGTAATTGTTTACAAGTGGGATCCACTATTTTAATTTTCATTTTTTTGAAGGTAATTTCTATTTGATTTTATTGATGTATATTTTTTTGGAAAAATACATAAAAAAATGAAAAATTAAAAAAAAAAGTTGATTATCACAACTTTAACAAATTTTCAAATAAATTTATAAATTTTTTAGAAAATTGTGATATTCAATTTTTTTTTCTTTTAAATTGATCGTTTTTTTATATACTTTTCAGAAAAAAATCTATAAAAAAAAAAAAAATAGAAATTTTATCCATAAACATGAGAACCAAAATTTTTTCCAACTTTTGAAGGCAAAAAAGCTATCGAAATCTTTATTTTTTTTTATCATAATTGCGCCGTATAAACAAGCAGAATCAAAAAATGTTAATTTTTTACCTAAATATGGCCAAAAATAGGCTGGACCCCACTTGTAAATAATTACCAAATTTATTTTGAAAAATATTTATGATCAAAGATTAAAAACACTTATTTTTTAGACCAAAAAAAAATCGAAAGAGAAAAAATTATATTTTAGTAATAAAAAATCCTGAAATTTTTTTTATAAAAGTAAACTATTTTTCATACTAATTAAGATCCAGAGTTGCGATTATATCTGATTTTAAGATCTGTAATTTATTATTGAATACTGTTAGTTGTAAATATTAAATAATCCCTAACATTACAGTGGAGATCCAGAAATCCTTGAAGCGTTGATCCTAAGCGGAGCCGGAGTGAACAAAAAAGACAAGCACTGGCTGACACCGTTGCACCGAGCGTGTTGTTCAGGGAACGTAGCAGCAGTGGAAGTCCTGCTGAAGCACGATGCAGCGGTGAACATCCGAGACACGACCTGGCGAACGCCGTTGCACGTAGCAGCGGCGAACAACGCAGTAGAATGTGCTCGCCTGATCCTGCCAAAATTATTCAAAAACATAAACTTGATGGACCGAAGAAGAAGGACCTGCTTGCACTACGCGGCCTCGAACGGGCACCTGGAGATGACTCGCCTGCTCCTAGAGCAGCCAGGTTGTGCAATAAACGCCCGGGACAAGGAGGACCGATGCGCTCTGCATTACGCGGTCTCCGAAGGTCATGAAGAGATTGTAAAAATTCTCCTGGAGCACGGAGCTGAGGTCGACGTCAAGGATCGGAATCTCTACACTCCCTTGCACGTCTCGGTAGCTGCGGGGAAATTCGGGTGTCTGAAGATCCTGATCGAGGCAGGGGCTGATATCGAGGCGAAGAACTCCTACGGGAACACGCCGCTCCACGTCGCCTGCTTGAATGGACACGCTGCGGCTGTTGCTGTCCTGGTCTATCATGGCTCCAATATTGAAGCTGTTAATTACAGAGGACAGACACCGTTGCATATAGCCGCTGCGAGTACTCAAGGTGTCAGCTGCTTGGAGATTCTCCTCAGCGCTGGGGCTGATATTAATGTCCAGTCCCAGGACGGTAGGACTCCGCTTCATATGACTGCTATTCACGGCAGGTTCACTAGGAGCAAAAGTCTCCTGGATGCTGGAGCCTCTCCTGACACCAGGGACAAAAATGGAAACACTGCCTTGCATATTGCCGCTTGGTTGGGACACGAATGCCTGACCACCACTTTGTTGGAGTGCGGAGCTTCTCCTGCGGCTAGGAATGCTGAACAGAGGACGCCCTTGCATTTGAGCTGTCTTGCTGGGCATATTGAAGTCTGCAGGAAGCTACTACAGGTTCATATTTTTTTTTTTTTTATTAATTTAACTTATTTTGGTAATTATTTACAAGTAGGGTCAACCTAATTGCACACCTTATAAGCGAAGCGTTGAGGTAATGCTCTATTCTCGACATTTCAAAAAAAGCAGTTTTCTCGAAACTGAAATTGACTTTTTTTATTTATATCCCACTTACAGGTTAATCTGAGTGTACTAATATCAAGTCAAATAATTTGTCAGGCACATAAAATATATTTCAATAGCAATTATTTTGCTTAACATAGTAAATAATAACAATAAAAATAATCTTTTCTGGACGTCCGTGTGTCTGTGTTTATGGATTGGTGTATGTGGCAGGAAAATTACTCGAAAAAATGATTGTACCAGAATAATTTTTTTTTTATTATCTAAAGTAACACACGATAGACTTTTTCAATTAATATGAGCGTTCAATTCACTGTCGTTAAATTATTATTTATAAAAAACTAATATATGCCTGTGTATTTTTTTTTATATCTATCTATACATTTTATTGTGGTATTTTTTTTTCACCTTAGAATTATAGCGCCACTAAACCATAGTAGAGTTTTTTATTATTTTGCTTTTTATATTTTATTTTAATCAATTTCCCATAATAAAATTGAGATGAAATGTACTTAAATATATCATGACAATAAATATGACGCGCGCGTTTGCGCGCGAAAATTAAATTCTAGTTACTGTGAAAAATGAGATTATGAGGCGTGCACTTTTGGATTTTCCAAACTTTTTAATTTTTTTTTTTATTCTGCTTGTTTTTACGGCAGATTTATGATAACAAATGTCATGAAAGGAAAAAATAGAGATTTCGATAACTTTTTTGCCTTTAAAAGTTGGAAAAAATTTTTGAAAAGTACATAAAAAAAACGAAAAATTAAAAAAAAAAAAAATTTAACATAGCCTAGCATGAGTGGACCCCACTTGTAAATAATTATCAATCTTTTAAAAAATTATCGAGATTTTAATTTAATTGAAAAAAAAAATTAGAAAAATTATAATTCTTGTAAGAATTTTACCGAATTTTCTTTGTTATTTCTAAAATTTATTTTTCTTGCAAATCATTTTAGGACTAACAAACACAATGACTAAAGAATTTATTCTTATTTACCCTTTGAATTATAAATAAATGTCGATAATTGATAAATAAATTCTACAAAAACGAACTTTCTTTCTATTTAACTAATTTTCCGAACATAAAAATTTAATTCGAATTATTACAAGGATTGAAAAAAAAAAATATCCAAATCAATCTAGCCGTTCTCAATTAATACGTTTACCAACAAACAGCATTTAATTTATATTTATATAGATATTGTATAAAAAAAAGTTATAAAAAGAAAAGATATGAACTACAAGTAAATCAATAAGCATTAACTAATTATAAAGCTAGTCTGATTTTTAACTTAACACCAATTTTTTTTCTAGGTGGACAACAAGAAAATTGACTCCCGTGACATTTGCGGGCGAACGCCCTTGCATTCCGCGGCATTCAAGGGTTCAGTGGACTGTTTAGACCTTCTGCTGTCCAGCGGAGCGAATTTCCGACTGTCTGACAACGACAACAGACTGGCCCTGCACTACGCCGCGAACCAGGGTCACTATTTGTGCGTGTTCACCCTGGTAGGGTACGGCAGTGACCCGAATGCCCAGGACGTGAACGGCGCGACGTGCCTGCACCTGGCAGCTGGAAGTTTTTCAGTGATTCACAGCGGTGACTATGCTGGCGAGTGCGTCAGGTACTTACTTACCCACAGAGCGGACGCTCACATCCGAGACAAGCGCGGATTTACCGCGATTCACTACGCCGTAGCCGGAGGAAACCAGTCCGCCTTGGAAGCGCTGTTGAACGTCTCCGCGACGGTCATTTCTAATAATCAGTCCTCGACTTTGACTAATTCAAAAAGCAGCCAGCCTTCGCCCCCGATTCGCTGCGAAAATATTTCACCGGCTTCTCCAGGTTAGTATTGAGATGTAATAGTTTTTTTTTAATTTTTTTTTTTTGTCATAATATTGGTTGATAATTTTTGATTTTTCAGAAAATTTAATAATTTGGAAAAAAATTTGTAATATTTTTTACTTATTTATTAATTTTTAATAAAAATTAACAATATTTTTCTTTTATTATAAATTTATGGAAAATTTGAAAAATTTTAATTTTAGTCAAGGAATTTAGTAGTAAATTTTTTATTATTCTTATTAATATTTATAATTTTTTAAATAAATAAACTAAACTTAAACTTGACGCGATTTTTTAGTATTTTAAATTTTAAATTATGATAACTTTATTTCAAGAGATAATTTAAAAATTAAATATCTAATTAATTATCATTTTTCCAGTAGATCCTAGAATTTTATTTAGCGTTTAGAAAAAATTTGAGAATTTCAAAACAAGCTTTCAGTCGTTCTTTCAAACTAGAAAAAAAAAGAAATTTTTCAAAAAATTCAGCCGTAAAAAAAATGATCAATTTTTTATGAAAAATTATTTCTCAAAAAAAAATAAAATAATAATTTTATAATTCTTAAAAAAAATGTATAATTTTTTTTTTTTTTAGCAAATAACTAAATATTAAATTTTTTAAATATTAAAAATTAATGAAAACAATTAAAAATTTATTGATGCGTTCCTTGAATAAGATTGAAATTCCCGGAATTTTTTCAGTTTTTAAAATCAATTGTCAACCTGAATTAATAATTAGATTAAAATATTCTTGAATTTTTCTTAAGAAATTCTTAATTAAAAAAAATTGTTCCTTATTTTCATAAAAAATTAGTAATTAAATAAAAATACTAATAATTGTTTTTTTTTTTTTTTTTTTTATTATGAATTCATCAAAAAAATTGATATTTTTTTTCTAATTGCTACTTTTTTTATTAAAATTACTATTATAATTCTTCTAACCATTAATTATTGAAAAAAAATTTTATTAATCACAATTTATGATTAAAAAAAAAATAAATCATTAACAATGATGAAAGATTAAAAACTAAAATTTGTAAAATATTAAAAAATAAACAATAAAAATTTTTTCTTTACCCAGGTTCTTCAACCCCATCATCAGTAAACCTCACTGCAGCCTCGTTGATCCAAGGACCGGGGAATCCCGCATTGACGCCGCTCCACCTTGCAGCTTTTTGCGGCCACGGAGAAATTTTAAGGCTGCTATTACCGCTGTTCCCTAGCACGAACATCCGGGAAGACACGGGGAAAACTCCCCTGGACTTGGCAGCCTACTGCGGTCACGAACAGTGCGTCAGATTATTATTAAGATGCGCAGCCCTGGTCTCGGTCCAGGACAACGTCACCAAAAGAACGCCAGTGCACTGCGCAGCGGCAATGGGTCACGCGGACTGCCTGAAACTCCTTCTGAACAACATGGAGGACCCCTCGGTGATCGACAGGTACGACATTAAGCATCGGACCGCCTTGACCCTCGCGGTCGCCAATGAACACACAAAATGTGCAGCTATTTTACTGGAATACAAAGCGGACTGCAATCTCCCGGATATCAATAAACACACGCCGCTGTTCCGCGCTGTTATTCAAGTGCAATATAATCCAGATCCTGTGCTAGATCAGCTGTTGAGACACGGAGCAAGAGTCTCTGTTCAAGACAACTCTGGGAAGACTCCAGTTCATTTGGCTGCTGCGGCTGGAGGGTAATTTTTATAATTAAAATTTAATATGGGCTAAAAATTCTGAGACCGTTAGATTATATTTATTTCATCGATGGATCTAGACGCACTTACTCAAGCAAACGCTTAAATAAAAATATAATTTGTTTGGTTTAATTTAATAATTTAATTATGAGAGAAAAAAAAAAGAGTGCATATAATTCCTTAATTTTGTTGATGACCAGTTGCTAATGTAAGCAACAATAATTATGATAGTTGTTTTAATATTTAAAATAAAAGTCAGCATTTTGGAGATTTTCTCAATAGCAAGAGTAACGGAAGCTTAATAAATTAATTAATGTCCAAAATGATAAAAATTTGATGAAAATTAATTTTATTACAGGCTGTACGCTCTGGAAGCTTTACTAAAAGCAGACCCGAGTGCAGTGTCTCTAAAAGACGACCAAGGCTGCACTGTCCTGCACTGGGCGTGTTACAACGACCATTCGGATTGCGTGGAGTACCTTCTGCAGCAGAATTTTGTCGACACGCTGGAAAGCAACCCACTGTCTGCGGTCCACTGTGCAGTTCACCAGGGCTCGGCAGAGTGTCTTAAGCTTCTAATCGACAAGTTCGGAGGCAAAGCTGTCGCTGCTGCGCCACGAGATAATCCTGGGGGCAGGTTACCCCTCCATGTTGCAGCTGCTTCAGGATCCGTCGAATGCGCTAAATTAATTCTTCACTCCGTCGGGGCTAATCTTGCGGGTCTTGAAGCTCAAGACTACGCGGGGCGAACTCCCCTTCTCAGTGCTGCTCTTGCAGGACAAACTGCTACAATAGGTAATTTTTATTTTTATTTTTATTATTTAATTATATAAAAATTTAATAATTAAGGATAAATGTCGAAAAAAGTCACCTTGCTTATTTACAAATGGAGGAGAGTAATGAGAAACTTGCGTTGAGACACAAACTTGAAAGTTAATTTTTTTTATTATTTTCAAAATTTATTTTTTATAATTATTTTTAATAAAAATTGAGCTGTCAAATTTTTTTTTATTTTTTTATTGCGGATTTAAGAATTTTTTATTGAAAGTTTACTTGAGGACGTTCATGCGTAAGACTTAATAGAAAATATAAATTTATATTTTTTAGCTTTGATAAGTTTAATTATAGTGATCTTCCCTAAAAAATTAAAAACTCGCTCGATCGATTATTTAAAAAAGTAATTAATGATTAAAAATTAGATTTTTAACATACAACCTTATAGCAGATCAGCGTTTTTTTAATTTAAAATTATAATATTTATATTATTAAATTAGTTTCAATAATAAATAATTTTTCAAAAAATTATCTGATTTATGTAGCTTATATAAATGCATCAAAATATACAGAGTGTTGACGAACGTTTAAATTAATTATTTATTATTTTATTTGGTATAATTAAAATTATTTTAGTTAATTTTTGACCGTACTGAAGACAACCACCTTATACAGCTTATTGATGGGCGTTAAATCAATGACTTATTTATATCTACTGATTTTTTAAAATAGATTCCTAAAAAATATTTCAGGTAAATAAACAAATAATTGTAAATCATTATAAGATTATTGATATAATTTAAAATTTTTCTCAAGACCCAAATTAATTTCATAAAAAGTTAGTACTCATTTGATTGTAGCGTAGCGCATGAACGTCTTTGATTTTGTAAAATTTATAAAATCAAACCCAAAATTTTGAAAATTGACTTATCAAGTCATTTTTGTTTATTATATTCTTAATACAGAATATAAAAAAAAATATTTAATAATCATCAGATAAACTCTAAATTATTGATCAAACGTCAAAAACAAATTTTTCTAAAATTCATAAAAAATTTTTCAATTACGTGACACATTTTTTAATTTGTTCTATTTTTTTTTACATCCGACAATTTTTAGGATTTTTCTCATTAAAAAACTTATAAAAAAAATAAAAATTTCACATGAAGTAGATTTGAAGAACTACAAGCGCAATTTAAAAAAAAATATTTCCTCAAGACCATCAACCATAAATATAATTTTATACAGTACAACACTTTATATTATGATAACAGCAATAATATTCTTAGCCATAGTTGCTTGTTACAACACAGTTCTGATGTATATCAATAATTTTAATTATTTGTTATAATTATGGATTGAATAATTTTTTTAGAATTATTATTGGAATGGAAAGCAAACATCCAAGCAGTAGACGCTGGAAATAACACAGCTCTTCACCTGGCTTGTCAAAGAAAACACTCACAAGCAGCTTCTCTTCTCCTGGATATAATCGAATCATCCCAGACTGTACCTTTAATCAATTCAACTGAAAATTCTCAGAAGAATCCTTCAAAGCGGGTGGAAATTGTCAATATGGCTAACAAGCAATTGAAAACTCCACTTCATTTTGCTGCTAAAAATGGTCTTGTTGGCGTAAGTTAGAATACTCATAATTCAGAATTGAAAAAAAAATTATTATTTATAATAATAAAAACAATAATTATTTTGAGAAACAAATTTTTATGAGAAATAAGGATGTATTTAATAAAATATTATTATTATTCTAGATAACAAGAAGACTAATTCAATTAGGAGCTAGCATAGTTGCTGTGGATTTAGACGGATTGACTCCAGCGCTAGCTTGCGCGCCCAACCCCGCTGTTGCTAAATGTTTGGCAACTATTCTCGCAGCTCATGGTATCTCAATGAATATATATATATATATATATATTTATAAATATGACTTATTATTAATATTATTAACATTAGTAATTGATAATAATTTTTTTTTAGGGCAAAATTTGGAGTCTACACAACAGCCGTCAATTCAACAAACCTCTGAGATTTATTTAAACGGCAAAGATTCTCAGCATAGCTCGGACTCTGAATTCTACTGACGACGATTGACAACGCTTTGTCGTCAATATCATCTTCATCATCGTCATCTAAATCGTAATTATAATCACAATCATTATCATAATTATAAATGCACTCACTGCTTGAGTTTCATTTTCAAATTAACAATAATGCCATCTATTAAAATTAGATAACGTGAGACACTTTTTACAATTATTAATTATAAATAATAATAATAATAATTTTTAGATATTTTCAATTTATTGGCTATCCAGTCTAATACAACAATTTTTTTCTGTCTAATTTTTCGTAATATTGTTAGTCTGTATTTCTCTCCAGGCATAAACAATTTAGCCTATAAAAAACATCTACTGGTCCTTGACCTAATATGGCTTAAAAACTTTAACTAAAATATTATCAACTAGGTCTTAAAATTTCATGAAAAAATATTATATTTATTATTATTATTATTATTAAAATATGCAAACAATGGAATTGCTATTTTTGAAGAATAAGCCGTCTTCTTTGCTAATGCCTAATATTTAATATTTTACAATACAATTATATTATGAATAAATATAGGTGTATACATACTTAAAAAGGAATCAGCTTGCTCAATAGTTATTCTTTATATAACTAATATTAATATTTTAAATATTTGAAAAAAATATATATTATATATAAATATTGAATGTATGTATTTTAATCTATTGTAATACTGTGGCAAAAAGTTTTGAGATTTTTTGGTACTAGAACAAAAATAACCCTTACAAAATTTTTTATAACATGTCCAAATAATTATTGTCAGTATTTTGATTACAAAAAAAAATTTTTATGACGTACTATTATTTTTTTTATTTTATCTCAAAATTAATTTGAAGATAAAAGTACAAGCTGTAATTATTAAAAATTGTATCCATTTTTTGAAATTATATTACCAATTTATTAGGTTAAGATTTATTTGCCAAATTTAAATTAAGTGCTTCCTATTTTTTAATAAATTTTTTTGATAAATTGAAATATTAACAATGAAATTCAAAAATGATTTTTTAATTTTTTTAAAATAATTTAATTATTTAATATTCATAAAATTGTTAAAAATGGAAGCAGATCATTTGAATAATTTAAAAATGGGTTATTAAAGTAACTTACCAAATGTTTTTATATTTATTTAAATTTCCATATCTGCACAAATTTAAACAATAAAAAAAATGTCTAGTGTGTATTTTTACTGTAAATATACAATATAGAGGATTTGAAATTTTTACTCACGTATTTTTATTTTATAATTTTAAATAAAATGAGTAACAGTAACCAATAACATGCTACATAAAATCATCCGAATCATAACCGGCTTCCGTATTTGCCGTCATTTTACTGTGAGAGAACAGCGAAGAGTAGCTCCTGAAAAATTTTTCATAAATATTATAATAATAATTGTAATCCTATATTCTTATAAATAATATTTATTTAAATTAAAAATAAATTACTTTATTTCAGCTTCTTCTTCCCGCTGTTTCTTCTCAGTTTTTTCCTTCTCCCTCAAATCTCTTTGCAATTTCTTCTTGTCTTCCCGCTCATTTCTGTCTCTTTGTTCGCGCAGCGCTCTCAAATTCGGGGTTTCAGAGCGCTTTGTTTTGTTGAGCCGATTCACGATCGTGTTAATCCGCTTGGGAACGTGAATTTTCCTAACCTCTTTTTCCTTGTGGAACCCAACTTGCCCCACTTCCATACCAGGAGTTTTTTTGAGGTTAGCCCACATTGTATACACAACGTCAATGTCATTCACTTTGTTTCCTTCAATACTGTTCGCTTTCACTAGCTGGGCTGCGTCGTCTAACACTGAGCTTGGAACGTCATCAATACTTTGTCCCTGTTAATTAATTATTAATATTTGATAAATAATTCAAATAAATTAAATAGATGTTTTCTTCTTTAATTATAACTATTTTTTTAGGTTATAAATACTTTAAGTATTTTGAAAGCGTGTTTTAAATTTTTCTTCTCAAGAAGAAATAAATAAATAATTGCAATTGACAATTTTTTAATAATTTTATAAATTAATAATATATATTTTAAGAAAGATTTTTTTCAACAAAAAAATTTGACATGAAGAAATTGTCAAAAATTATAATTACAATTTTCTAAAATAATTTATTTTTTAAATTAAATATATAAATAGTCAAGTGTCTGCTGAATTTAGATTTTTATTAATTTTAAATATTAAATCAAAAGAAGAAATGAGCTATAATTTTTTTTTACTAAAAAAGAAATAAATTATAAGATAGTTAATTTTTATTAAACTAATTAAAATTAGTAAATATTACCGGAGCAAGACGTAAATACACGTGAGCTGATGAGAATTTGTCGACATGAAACCAAACATCTTCTGGCCATCCCCATTTTATTAAATCTTCATCTGAAAATTAAAAAAAAATTGTGAATTTTAAATTAAAAAAAAAATTTATTAATAATAAAAATAATTTAATAAAAAATAATACTTAACAATTACAATACTTACTTTCATGTTTATCAACTCCCATGAACAAAACCACTGGTGGTTGAACAACTGAAATAATATTTTAAGTAATTAAAAAAATTTTTAACACATTAAAAAATTACACTAATTATAATTTTATAACAATGTACAATATATATAATTGAAAAATAATAATATTATAAAACATAACCTTACCATCACTTTCAAAATAATACACCATGTTTTTTAATTTATATTAATCAATTCCAAAAAATTATATCTTCCTTCCGTATGGAGAATTAATTTATTGTTTTCTTCTTACGCATTTAATTTTTAAAAACACATTTAATTTGTTTTGAAAAATTAACAAATTATAAAAATGAAATGTGACATTTATATACACTGATTTACACAGCACTGAAAAAAAAGTGAACAGCATCGATTGTAGATAAGAAGAAATTAAGAGAAAAGAAATCTATATTATCATCGTTTATATATAGATATAGATATAACGTCGGATCAACCCCTAAAATTGTTCAACCCTTGTACACATTACCAATAGAAACAAAGGGAGAGACAGAGAGTCTGGAAAGTATTCTGTAGTGTAACTCTCTGGGTGTAATGCATGTACAGAGAAGTTATGTGAGGGTAGGTCGAATTCGAACTCGGCAACTCGCGGAAGTACCAACGCGGGGGTGATATAATCTGTCATATGGGGTCGAGGAAGGCGCCGTGTCGGTTCTTTTGAGCCAACACGGACGCCTTTAAGTCGCATCGATAGCTCTACTTTCAATAGACATTTTTAAAATAGTCTTTTTTTTTATATCCTGTATCAATAAATATCCAACTATTTATTTATAGTTCAATCATCTTCATTAAAAGTTGCGCTGAAACAGAATCATGAAAGTAGTTAAAGTGAAGTGAGTGATAGTTTGACCTGGAGTCTCCGTATAAATGGGTCAATTCAACTTAGCAACCGCACACGTAATTTTCGCCTGGAATTATTTCCAATTTTTATAAATATTCTTTTTAAAATTTAATTTTTTTATTTCTTCTTATACTCATAAATATTTATGAATTTTTATAAATTAGCAATATTCAACCCAGATATTTTAATCGATTATTTTTTTGACTTGCACCACTTATTAAACAATCGATTAAAGCTCGTCTGCCAAGATTTTAAAGATTAAAAAATAGCTTAATAAATTAGTCATTTTTAATTATTTTGTTATTGATTTAAGCTATTTTTAACAAAAATTTAATTAGAACTAACAAAAACAGTGTTTTTCTTTTTAGGACAATAGGAACAAATTATAAATAAATAGGGAGATAACATTATAATAAATATGGCGACGTGTAAAGCACCGGAAATGACATACACGTGTGAGATTTGTGGCCTCGAGGGGTTTAACGATGAAGAAATGCGATCTCACATGGTCCTATATCATCTTCAGGGTGCTGCCAGTTGTCCTTTTTGCGACCTGGGTGAAATATCTCCTGCTGAGATGCTTGTACATGTTAATAGTGCCCATTTGGATTATTTGACTCCCAGGTAATTGTTAACACATATTTGTACTTATATTTTTATTTTAATTACTGCAGAAAATTATATCTTATCTTACAAAACTGACTTTTTTTTTTAAAGCAATCATAACAATATCATGCAGTTTGTTAAAATTTTAGAGATCAAATTGCTCAATAATGTTTTTTAAGAAATTTTACAAATGTTTAATGATTAATAGTAATAATAATTGCATAGATTTTCATTTTTAAAAAAATGAAGCTAGCTAATTTTTTTACTTTGATTAAAAAAAAAAAATTTTAATGGTTTGATAAATTTTTTTTTTTTATTATAAAAGTATATCTAAAGTACCTAAGCAAATAAAAAAATTTACTTGAATCAAATAAATAATTTTAAAGAACTTCATCTTGTTGATTTGAGTAGAAAAATTATTAAACTAAGAAATTATTCTTAGTTTAACAATCTTTTGTCTTAATTAAAGAATCTTCTTTCTTAGGTTTAGTTCAAGAATTTTTCTTTTGATTCAAGTAAATTTT